ACAAATAGAGTAATAACTATATAAGCATTCATATTATATATATATATATACACACACACATTTATATATATACACACATTTATATATACACGCATTGTGTGTAGCTTAATTGTTATACTTTCTACAAATAATGAGAAAACAGGAAATATTTTAGCTCATTTTTTTCTATCAATATCATGTTAGTCTTAAATATGCTCATTATTGTGTGAAAATGGTAGCAATGTTTACATTAACATTAGCAGTAACATAAATTTAAGCCTTATCCCAAGGTGCAAGGTCTTTGATTATGTAAGTCACTCTTGTCCAAGGAGCAGAGGAAGGTAAGACATTGTAACTTTTTCACATTTGTCATCTGTAACACTGAAATGTAGACAAAAGGTTTCATCTCTACAACAATTTGTTTCTTCTCTTTATATTGAAAGTGATATAGTAACCACCGTGAAAATGCCTGCAATATTACTAATAGTTTATAATTATTAGTGCTTCAGTTTAAAAGTTAAGATTTTTAAAGAAATTAGAAAAGATTTAGTTCATCAGTTTATACCTGAAATTTTACTTCTGTGTACTATTTGTTAAATTAAATTCCCCCTTCCATTTTTTTTCAACTTGAAATGCTATCACAGCATTTTTCTCAAATACCATATTTGATAAAAATGAAATTGATTATAAAGACTGTTAGTCTAAGGGGTCTTTAATTTATATTCTAATTTTTATTCATTCCATTTGCTAAAGTAATAACGTATTATTAGAGTTTAAAAAACAGATGTTGGTATTAAAAAATTTTATTTTTATACTATTTTTTTCACATACCTACTTATATCTTATCAATTGCTTATTATTAAATTAATCACTGCCATGAGTGAATCTCCTATTTCATTTGACAGCATTAGAAAAATTTTATTAGATCTACCTATCCACCCATCCATCTATTTTTTTCTCTTGCTTCTCCTTAAATACTGAATGTTTTTTAGGAATAAAAACATTTTCCTACAAAATCAGTCTCAAGAACTGTTGCAAAGTGGTCGGACCTTGAGATGGTAAATGTGTAGACATCAGAGTGAGAAAACACAACGCTGTGCTCATTCTGTCCTGAAAACAGGAGCGTGTGGCCACATGGGGCTGATCAAGAGTTGCACCTGTTCCCTAAACTCGTCTTGCAGTCCTGTTGCTAACTCAACAGCTGCAAAAACTTCAGCGGATGCTTACTGTCTCTCTGGCACACTCTTCCTGAACAAATATCCAGAGAATCAGCCAGTCTAGGCCATGTGCCTCTAAGACTGCAAGTCTCTGGCCCCCCGTTAAAGATCATTGCTTGTCTTGTGTGTTTTATCTTGCTCGCATTTTGGTGGGTTCTACATTTTGGTAACACTGGATGCAACAGGAGGGAGTAGTTTCTCAACCCAAATCTGAGCTATGATGTACTTGAAGGACGTAGGCCAGGTATGTTGTTTAAAATTTCTTGGTTTGGATGAGTCTGAAGTTCACTTGTGCATTACTTCTTTTGATTTGTTTTGTTGTTGTGTTTCTACATGGGTATCATTTTTTTTTCTTTATTTATTGTAAAGGAATATTGAAGCAGGTGAATTTTTTCTTTTAAAGTTTAGTTGTGTTTGAGAGGATATTGGTTAGTAAATAATGTCCTACATAATGTTATGAGAAGATTTATAATGCAAATTTTCCATTAATATTATGGTTTTTAATATTTGCTTCTTCTTACTTGAATTGATTGATTGATTGATTGATTTGAAAATGAACTGACAGACAATTCTCTGAAAACTTAGTAGACTGATTTTTTTATCCAGAGCTTGTCTTTTGTGGAGAAAAGATTAAGGTCCACTTTGTACTAATCTCTTAATTAAGCCTGTTTTCTGCATCTAATATAGCAAACAAACTGCTAAAATATGACTCTTAACTTATGTAATTTATTTCATGAATTTTTTTCTGACATTTTGTTTTTATTTATGCCCTAATTAGTCTCACACTGCTCAAACTCTGTAAAATCTGTCTGTACCTTGGTACCCCCATCCTAAGTCTGATAAAAATTATGTAGCCATTTAAATTTTTATTGATATTCATCTAGGTGCATCTTTTTTTTTTTTTTAAGAGGTTTTTGCTATAGTATACTGTGCACCCACAGAGGTTTTTGCTATAGGATACATGCTCTCACCAGAAAGACAGAGAGGGACGGAGAGACAGAAAGTGAGAAATCACCTGGGGGGTGATTTCTCTTCTTGGGGTCTTGGGCATGCACACACATGCGCTCAACCTGAGTTTAAACCACCAGGTCCGGGACTCGAACTCTAGTTAACTACTTGGAGTCCAGTGACATAGCCATTATGCCAACTGCTGGTTCCTAGATGCCATCTTTAAGAATGTTTTTTCTTTATCCCTCTATTCTCAATAAATTTTATTTTCTAATAACATTTATAGCTTAGAAAAGACAGATTTTTTATATTGTTTTAAGACAGCAATAATACTGTTTTTACCCCTCATGTTCTTTGGTACATAGCTTAGCGAATAATGAACTATTACTTGATAAACTTTGCATCATATTTAGCATTAAAAAACTGACCTTTTATCATTCACTGATTCACTCAGTTAATAATTTTGAGAGTGTGCTGTGTGTTTGGAAACATTTGAGATGCTAAAGATATAGTGGTAACCTTGACAAACAGAATCCCTTTCCTCACTGGGTTTTATTCTATTGGAAAAGAGAGGCCACAAAACACAAATAAATAAAGCAAGATATTATATAATAATGTGTCAGGGATGAAAAAACAAAACAAGGTGATGAGATAGAATGCTAGTGCCTACAGTAGGTGATGACCAGGGAAGGTCTCTTTGAGGATGTGATACCTCAGCAGAGACCTGGCTGTTCATAAGGTCCTCTTGGTCCAGTCTTGGCAAAGAAGTAGGAGGCATTGTGAAAAACTCAGTGCAAGAATCCATGTTGGGAATAAGCTTGATTTATTCCAGGTTGGATGACAGAACAATGTGGAGAACAGGATGAGAAGCCAGATAGGTGAAGTGACCACATGTGCATGCTAGACGATTTTGTTGCACCATTAGGGATTGTTGGGAATTGAAGAAAAGCAGGATATATATTTATGTAAAAGAGTAATAATTTAGTAATCTCAAATTTTATAAACAACAAAAAAAGCCTTTTATTTTCTACTATGTTGTGTGTATTTTATTTAAAAATTGATGACTCTAATGTCTTGGCAATGTGCACGATTTCAGGCAGTAACCACTTTTTTTTTGTATTAATTGTACCCCTCTCGCCTACCCTCTCATCCCCACCCAATTGCTCACTTCCCAGAAGTACTTTAATTTCATT